TGTAGAAAGTCTGTATAATGCATACCTCGATGAACAGAGTAAACCAATTGTCTGTGGTCTAACCAAAATAACTGTTTTAATTAAGATCATCCTATCTGTCTCTGGGCTAGAACATAAAAAGTTTTTGGTGCATCCTCCTAAATTGGACTTTTAATTAAACTGGTAAGGATAATTTGAGGCCGAGGGCTATTTCTTCCCCTCCCCCCCTAAAAAAAAGAAAAAGTTTGTCTGCAACTTTCAATAATAATCTGGCCTTTGGAGGGATTAATGAAGATGCTAAACTGTGCCTATGGACAGAGGTCAAATACAATTGAGACATTAACTAAAGTAGGATGGTAATATGAAGACAACAACATATTCAATTTTGCACATTCTTTAAAACAATTTGGAATATAAAATTTCACATGGAAAGGCATTTTCCTTTTTGGCTTAATGTGCCCCAGGTCAAAGAATAGGCCTACATTAAATATATTGGCAGTAGCACTACTGCACAAGTCTGCAGACACAACACTCATAATTCTAGGCTGGTCAGACTCAACAAAACTTTATGTACTCTATCTTTTACATCACAGACCACACAGGCCTTTCAAAGTGTTATTACCTTCAGAAATCAAAATTTAAAGTCAAGACATTCTCATTTATATAGCGCTTTTTTAACAATGTAGATAATTTTAAAGCAGCTTTACAGAGATAAACATACACTGTAAAAAATGATCCTGTAAAAAAAAAAAAAGGTAAACTACCGGCAGCTGTGGTTGCCAGCATCATGCTGTAACTATACGATGTGTTACTGTTTTTGTGTTAGAGCATATAGCTGTTAATTAAAGTTTTATACTGTAGCTGACAATACGGTATTTAGCTGTAAATTCCAAACACAGCAAGACACTGTATGTTTACGGTATGATGCTGGCAACCAAAGCTGCCAGTAGTTTACCGTTTTTTTGTTTTGTTTTTTTTTACAGTGTTAGTTTGGTTTTATAGTGGTTCTTGAATAATGTTATGTTCCAGCTAAAGTTAGTTTTGATTGATTCACTTCCGATGAAATAATCATTTGTTATAAAATTAGGGGCCGCTAAGACGACAACGTTCAACGGACTTAAAATGCGAACCTGTAATAAGCGCTGATGGCGTTCACATGCACATTAAGAATTGATTATATAGTTATGTGCCTTTGAATATATGTGCACATGTTTGTAATTGCCTTCAAACCATGCCTATACATTTCGATAAAGAATTTCATTTTATCACTTCGGGGTTGAACCGACATTTTCAGAATGCTTTATCAATAGAATGTTAGGGAAAGTAGCATTTAAAAACTTGGCTAAAGTACAAAAGTTCAAATAAATGGCAATAAATTGCACCCCCAAACACTGCCAGGATGAATAAGATTTTTGAATGTTCAATCAAAATATCCCACATGTGGTTCCTTACAGAAACCTGCTCTATAATGACAGCAGAAGAGAAATAAATCAAACAGGCCACATACACAATGTAATGTTTCAGGACTGACAACACATTTAGATGAGGAAGTGAATCCACAACATTATCGTCGTTCTGTGTGTGTATGGCACACGACTCCAGAAACTGCGATGAATGACACTGTGCTAAATGCACACTAAAAATCCCCTACACTATAAATACATAGATTCTGAAGCTGTGGCTAAAATTGGTCACTTGTTCACACAATAATGAACACAAAATGTATCGGACCCATTTGAGTTCTACACAGAATGCTGTATTTTGAAGCGATATGGATGAGATTAGGAGGAGAAACGGCTTGACCAACTCGGCATTAGAAACAGCACTGACGAGTAGAAGAGATAACACCAGCATAAATTACAAGCAATCTCAGCATGACTATGTTTACTTTTTTTACCTTTTTGTTCAGACTATGATTACGTTTTCTGAATCTATTAAACTGTGGCTGTCATAAGCTGCCAAATGCGGCTTTACTGAGCTCAACAGCCAAACTGAGATGAGCAATTGGCTGTTTTAAAAAGGGGAGGAGCTACTCAATATGTCCGGCCCTGTCTTCCTGTTTCAGTGGAAATTACGTAAGCACATTGAACAATGCTACACATTTCAAGGCAATTCAGTGGGCCTTTAAGCTTGGCTCATAAAGCGATTGCATTTAAGGAGTTATTACAGTGAGCAGGTGCGGGTCGTGATATTTAAGTTTTATTTTCAGCATAAAGCATTTTGATTCTTTTAGTTCTTTACGCTTGTTCTTGTTCGCTTTTTTTCTTGCAAGATCTGGCAAAAGGAATAAGTCAAGATCGTACTGCTTTCCCTGTAATTTCTATAGCACCTCACACACAGAAGAGAGAAACATCTCAGATGGATGTTAAAATACGTGATTAGTTGCTCATTTCGGATCCGTACACACTGCAATAAACATGGTTGCCGGTACCTGCATTTTTTGCGAGTTAATTGTGGAATGCGGTTGTCACTCAAGTGTGTGTGTGTGTGTGTGTGTGTGTGTGTGTAAAGAATAGAATTTAGCTCTAAAAGGTGAACTGACAACAGAATGTATATTAGCTGCAGTGTGTACATGGCCAGAAAGTAGTTCAGAATGTGTCAGGTTGCCATTGACTGGGACTGAGTCAATGACTGCCATTGACCATGACTGGGTGTCATATTCTGGATTTCATATTCTGCACTTCTTTTTTCTCATTGCGTCTCACCTAAGCAGTAAATAAGGTCCCTGGAGAGGGAGTTTAATCCTCCTGCATGGCAGATAAGTGGCCCATGGTAACCTCTCCTCAATTTGAATAACGGAATCTCACGGCACCTGGAGAAATGCATTAACCGATTCCAAAACTGGCCGATGGTGCAAGAACATGAGTAATTGAATTTCTAGTGGGTTTTATTTCATCAGTTAGGACGGAGGCACTTGTGGTAATCATTTAATTTATATCAATGACATGGAATGTCTACAATGATTCATTCTAGTCCCATTTTTGGATACAGACCTATTTGTGTAGGCCCACTAGTCACGCACAAATGTGTTTAAAACCTTAAAAAGAAAAGTGACTGAAAAAGTGACATCAATGTTATTTCAAAAATTCATAAATGAAGAAATCTACTGAATCTATATGCTTTTAACAGCTAATCTCTGGCACAGTGTGATGCTTTCATATTACATATTGAGTATGCAATTCCTTACCCAATGCCTACCCTGGGGAATCAAAATGACATAGGCTGACTCACTCATTATGGATTTAAAAGCTGTAATCATCTTCATTCAATTCATTCATGTTCTTCCAGTCTTCCATATGATTAAAGACCCCTGGCTTTTGATCTGCTTCTAATGTTTTTTAATCTGGTATCTGAGGTTGAGGGTAATTGCATCTGTAATGAGAGTGAATGATTTGATGGCCATTAGCATTATGATATGTTACTGTAGTGATCAGGCAATGGGCAAAGAGAAGCGATCTTCAAGAATGATTTATTAATTAGCACTCTTTATTTTCAAGCTCTCTATGTGGTTTTGCCCCTCCTCCACATGAACAAGTTCTTGGACGTTACATTGTTAAATGAGAGCATTGGTCAGACTCAGAATGGTCACTTCCTAAAACTTTAACAGCTATTGATGGCTCTGCTGTTTATGCCATTAAACTGTTTTTGCATTTTAATATAAAGAGAACAAAACATAATACAATATATTTTGGCTTTTAATTTCTTGCTTTCTTTTGCTTCTTCCCTGATAAAAAAGTGTATGTAAGATAATGAATGCACAAATGTAAGAAGTATACCTATATAATAGGTATACCTGAATATTATGTTAATGATGATGATAAATCAATCATGCAGAGATTGAGCTGAGCAACTTGTGTGGATGTGTGATGAGTTTTCTGCACAAAGCCCGTCTGACTCTGTCAGATTAATCATAAATCCCTTTGATTACAAGATAGAAAAAGGTGTCAACAACAGCACTTGGAAAAAAAAAATCTAGTCACAAAACTGAATCCTCATCAGCGTAAAACACACTGACCTTCCCTCACTCCCCTGAAAATTTATTTTGGATTAAATTGAATACAATACTGAACTTTCTGTTTACGTCTGAAGACATTATGTCAGAGTGTCTGTGAGACAACATATGACTTTGAACCTGATAGCCCCGAACATTTTCTTTTGGAAAACAAAGTCATTTTTCTTACATAAATAATACCATTTGCACAATACATACTGTATTGTGCAAGTAAGGTAAAGTTTTTTACATGTTTTTTTTTTTTTATCTCACAGTTTATTTGGGTATTATTGAACTGATGTTATCTCATAATGTAATATTTATCATAAATAAAATATAATATGAAAGCCAATTGAATTAAATGTGATAGCAAAAGACACAGTGACATTTCATGTTTTATTCCATTTGCGGGATATCAGTGCATGTTCATTAACCAATACCCATGCTGATCTGCTGTAGATTTCGTGACGAAACTAATTGTATTTGTCTGAGATTTAAAAATAAAAAATACAATAAAAAAGGGTCCTTTCAAAATAGCTGTCTGTCCATGAGCTGCTTAGTGCTTATTTCACTGTATTCCATGGGGAACGTGGTTATCTAATGGTGCCTTTACCAAGTTCTTCGAAACTCATTGAGAGTTAAGTAAATCCTGACAGATGTTTCCAAAGCTGTTGGCGCACAATCATTCCCCGCCAATCCATTGCGCAACACATTCACACTGCTTTACACACGGCCTGTTGAAGTTTCCCCACGGTTCAAAAACACTCTATCTCATCATTTTATTAGCCTACTGTACAATTTATTTTGTGATCATATAACGAATGTTAATTGACAGATATAGTAAAAATCACGAGTTTTTTTTTTTTTTTTTTTTTTTTTTTTTTTTGTTGTGTGTGTGTGTTTTGTTAACAATGCAGTTTTCAACTACTAGGTTAAAACATACATTTGTTCAATTAACTTTTTGTGAATTTAAAAAAAAGATGCAGCACGTAGGCTAACAATTGCACTCTTTGCTACTTGACATTCTTTCACACAGTTTGGAATAAATGTCAAACTACTTAAATTTAACCTGCTGAAGACAGACAAATATGGGACTATATCAAAGTTTAAGATGTAGGCTAGTATACAGCCTCAAACACAGAGTTACATACACAGACAAATAAACAAAACAATAAAAAAAAAACATCACGTCATTGAATAGGCTTAGGATAAACTTTAAACTCTTACCTCCTCCATGGATATTCTCCTCACACGAATACCAGATGCCCGTGTGAAAATGCCTAAAGAGAAAGCGATCGTCACCCGTTTCCCAACTATAGTGAACTTTACTCGGGTCTGTCTCGTTCACCCCATAGTCAATACAATTATGCCGTCTTTCCTTACTGCAGTTGGGTTTGGGGACCCTCTGAGTCCCTTCGCACCAGTAGGTCGTGATGAACGCCGTCGTTGAGAATAAGAGTGCAAGAAGATTTAACCCCACAGACAGCAGAGCACGGCATTTTCGAGTGGTCTTCATAGTCCTATACGAAATGGTTCACACAATTGAATGAGCTTCAAACCGGGCTGAAAAAGCTTGATTTGTGTGAGGAAAGAGCAGCGGTTGCGCTCACCTCACCTCTGCTCACCGGCCCGAAATGACAGTGACAGGTTCGATCTTCACACACATAAAATGAGCGTCACTCCTCTGATGATCGCAGGTGGATCCATTCGCATGGAGACAGACGTGACTCAAGTAAGAAAGATATCCGAGGCATCTTTGAGGCAGACACTTACGCTGCCAAGTTACTGTTGTGATCTCTCTCTCTCTCTCTCTCTCTCTCTCTCTCTCTCTCTCTCTCTCTCTCTCTGCGCGCGTCACCCTTTCCCCAATAAATTTTCTTTTATTTTCTTTTTGTTTTGGTGACTTAAGGGGTCATCAACCTATTTTGTAAGACTTTATTATGGGCAATGGCGCCACCAGGGGGTGGCCAGGGGTGGCCATGGCCACCCCTGGCCGACTCCTGGCCACCCCATTGGCCACCCCAATGGCCAGTATTAATTTTTGTAGCATCAGTTATGCATTTTATAAATAAGTCAAAAATATTCTTAAGTAAAAGAAGACGGGGAATTATGTGTCGTGACGTGCTTTTTAAGTGCCAAATGGTATACAGCAGCTTTTAGGTGTGTTTTTGCCACGTTTGGACAGGCAGGGATGCAAACAGTGCGCTTTTCGGCGCCTCCTGCTTTTTTCACGTCAGTTTGGGTGACAAAGTCATCTGAAGTCATTCCATAGCTTAATGTGAGGGACAGAAGTATATTTACATCATTAAAGTATAAACTCGTTTTCCCTCCTCTGCGACTGTCATCATTCTCCATTCATATTCAAACAGCACGCGCGCCTCTTGGATGCACGGTAAAACTCTCTCCAATATGATATATTGACATTATAAATGCATGATCTGTAGATAAAAGTCTGTATATTCGCATAAAATTACTTTATTTTCTTGGAGTTTGTTGCTGTTTTTAAGCGACTCACTACCGTGTTCTGTTAGATCACACATAGGGGAGAGTGGGGTAAAGTGAGACATTTTTTACATTTGCTCTCCTCTAAGTGAGCTAAAATGATATATCAGTAAGATTTATACATTTCCCATTAATTCAGGATGTTTTCTACCAATGGAAATTATCTGAATGTATTCAGGACGAAGGGCAGTGAAAATATGATTGTTTTTAAAAAAGTGGTCTTGTGTCTCACTTTACCCCAGCCCAGGGGTAAACTGAGACAGACCAGAGAAATCAAGGGGGTAAAGTGAACCAGCTGGGGGTAAACTGATCCACTTACTTTTTATCAGAGCCCTAGCTCCCTGGAAAGTGGACGACTGGTATCAGTCAGGAGTGAGTATGGGTGTGTTTAAAAGGAGAAAAGTGATCTTGACAAATACATCCAGCCTAGGTTGGAGGGCCCTTTACGAGGGCAGGCTCGTCTCATAGTAAAGCCTGGAGAAACGGCTACATATAAACTGTCTAGAGATGAGATCAGTCGCTCTATCGCTGAAAGCCTTTCTCTCGGACTTGAAAGGCCACCATGTCCTGGTCCGGACAGACAGCATGGCAGTGGTGTCCTATATAAATCACCAGGGCATTCTCAGGTCAAGCAACCTGCACGCCATGGCCAAAAAACGAATTTTATGGGCTCAGCACAACCTGTGCTCCCTAAGGGCGGAGCATGTGCCATGCATCCTGAACCAGGGTGCGGATATGTTATCTAGAGACAATGTTCCCCCAGGAGAATGGTCTCTTCACCCAACAGACGGTTCAGCTAATATAGAGCATCTTCGGCGAGGAAGAGGTAGACCTCTTCGCCTCAGAAGAGCAGGGGTGTGCTTGCCCATGATTGGCCGAGCCGTCCGCTGAATGCATTCCTTCCAGTCACGATGTTACCACAGGTCATCGAATGGATCAGGGAGAGCAAGTGTGTAGTGCTACTAATAACCCCTCTCTAGAAGACCCAGTTATGGTTCTCCATGCTGGTAAGGCTGCGGTGGTGCTGAGGAGAAACCTCCTCATGCAGGCAAACCGATTAATTTGCCATCCCCATGAGGCAAGAGCGCTGTCAACTAGATGCCTCTACGCTCAGAAATGGGTGGTAATTTCTGGCTGGTGCGCTGCACGGAGCCTGGACCCCTATTTGTGCGAAGTATCGAGTATACTCGCCTTCTTACAAGGGAGTATGGACGTGGGTCGTACCCCCTCCACATTCAAAATGTATGTGGCTTTGATCAGGGGATCGCTTCAGTCGACTTAACCTGACTACCTTTGGCTGAACTGGCCAATAAAAAGGCTTAGGCCACACCCATTTTGGATGGCTCTGATATGCCAAGGCACGAAGCAGCCTGATTGGTTCTTTCGTCTGAGCCGCCTCTCCACAGGTTCATGCAAGTTGCCACAGCACATCCAATGTCCGCACTAGCCGTTCATCTGTGTCTGCTACAGCTGCTCAGCGTTTGAAAGATTTTGGCTTCAATACTCCACATTTTTAAAACAGACCTCCTCTTCTCAATATCTTGTCAGGCTTGTCAATAATTCTGTCCCTTGCAGCTGCTCTTATAGACATATTTCCTTCCTTGACCTCAGCGGCTGCACTCTCCATCTCCTCAAGGGGTGTTTTGCCCCAGGTTGTCTTCCTGGTGTATTATCTTGGCATGATGGCTTTTTTACAATGTCAATGACATTAAAAAATAAAACATATGTAATGTAATATTACATTAAAATATTTTTAAGACTAAACTTAACTTGTGCCTCATGTCTCACTTTACCCCATAGTATTTGTCTCACTTTACCCCACTGCCACATTTTAGCAAAAAACGATCTCTCTTAGTAATTCAGGATACTCTTCAGCTATCATCATCACATGGATTCATATGTTAATAGTTCATCAACATGTATGATATACATTTTTCTACCTGAATCAATTTGCTTTACCACAACAGTTGATTAAGTTGACAGCAAGAAAATTTACTTTTACATGCAAAAAACATATTTTTGTGAAAAAAACATGTTTATAACAGCACCATGAGCTCCTCTCCTTTATGGCCAAGGGGAAATGGAATGGGCTTAAAAACATAATGGTCACACAACCACAAATGTGTTTGGTTGACTAGATACAGGGGGTGTCTCACATTACCCGATGTCTCACATTGCCCCGCTCTCCCCTACATATCACAAGGATTATGAATCGGCATCAAACGCACAATAACTGTGAAACAAAGGAACAAATCGCACTTGGATTTGTGCGCTCAACATTTTTTCGATTTGTGACATGAGCTTTTAAATGCACACTTATGAAGCGCAGTGCTGCTGCACACTGTGACTCCATGTTGCTTTGAGCACATCATTCTGCACCCGCGATGTTTTTCATGTAATCATGCAAGAACGGGCTCAATCATGGGTTTGCGCACTGAAATATTATTAAAAGCCAATATATTTTGTTATACCTAGCCTGCTCAATACATTTTAAATAAGCATAATTTAATTGTATATAATTTATTTGTAGTTTAGGCTATGCACTTCTGAATTCTTGACATTAATATATAAATATAAAATTGTGACATGATTGCCTGATTGAATTTTAAAAGAGAACTAATAGTAATTTGTTTTTATTAACATATTTAGATTTTATAAAATTACTGTGCAGATTTTTTCAAGAATTACTTTTTGCTGCTGATGTATACACTCATTAAGTGTATTAAAAATTCATAATACATTTATGTAATATTTAAAGGTGTTAACTGTAATCTTACACTGCAAACTAATAACTTAAAAATGATTAAATTCATCAAAATTATGTAAGTATCTGGAAATTTGCTGTGGGGCAAGGACCCTTATATATCATATAATATATATCATTATATACAATGTAATATATATTAGTTGGGCCCTACTAATATCATTAGTAACATTAAATATTACACAATAAACCAAAGTATATCAGTAGGAGTTTCCTTAAGTCTTTCTGATAGTTTTCTACAGGCTGGTTTATTACAACAGTAGAAAACAATTCTGAAATTATGGTTTATACTGTAGTTTTGGTGTGCCACCCCAAGATTTTAACTGGCCCCATCTGGCCACCCCTACGAAAAATTTCTGGAGGCGCCACTGATTATGGGTAAGTGGCGACGTGTGCAAACTGTAAAATATCTTGAAGGGGTAAACTTTTTTCAGTAATTTTCGTAAGTAGGCTATGTTTACTGCACAGACTAGCTCTAGTTAAGTTAGCTAACCTATATGTTATAGTTTTTTGTCTGTAATTTGTGCTCATATGCTATAGCCTATGTGATGTGAAAATCTAATAAACTGACAATGACAGTTTTGTCGTTTTCCAGCCCGATAATGTATAAAAGTATATGTGTGTGCGTTTTAAATTTACTTTATTCAATTAATTAACTTTTCACATGTTTTCCAAATATGAATTTAGAAAAACATGTAGCCCTTAACAATTGGACTCTTATAGCCTGACATTTGTCAATGTACTTGAACCTGCTGCAGACAGACACTGTGTGTGTGTGCGTGCGTGTGTGTGTGTGTGTGTGTGTGTGTGTGTGTGTGTGTGTGTGTGTGTGTGTGTGTGTGTGTGTGTGTGTGTGTGTGTGTGTGATTATGAGGGTTAGAACTTCTGATGTGGTCATCGTCTTCATTAGAGTGGCCCAGGCCCAGCTGTCAGTTAATGTTTTCTTCGTGGCAGGAGGTTACAATGCATCTCTGCATTGTGTTGTGTTGTCCCCTGTTGTGTTGTGCAGTCAACTTGACATTCATGAAAGAATTCTCACCGTCATGAAATACCATTCCTACCCAACACGCATTTAGCAGAAGGCTTGAAATCCACATTTCTGTCATTTTACAGCATCCCTTAATCATTGGAATACAACAATAAAATACGTGTGTCTGTCTTGAGATATCTGAGAGCAAAAAACTTATTTTTCCCTGCGCTGAGATGAGATGGGAAACAACAAAGGAGACTTTCTTTAAGCCATAGCAAATTGAGCTTAACACGCTGACAAACAGGCAGGTGGTATAGCTTTACTTCTCCGGCTGTTATTTCAAATTAAATTTTGCTCAGTCATGCCTTCAGATCCCACTAAAACACACTTGACAAACAAGATCTGCAGCAGCAAGGGATGCTCTGCGTGCTCATTGAACACTTGATACAATGTGACATTGACATCCACCATTCTGACCATGGAGCTTGTCAACCAGATTTAACCTCTTTTCAGTCCCATTTTGGTGTTGTCGGCTTAAAAACAGACTGCGTCTTGTTCT